CAGCGCCCAGACTGAAGGGGCCCGCGGGACCCTCAGCCGGAGCCACAGAATCCCACCGACCCCTCCCGCCAATCCCCAGGGACCCCCGTGTCCCTCCGCCCCTGACCCAGGGCGCACCTTCCCCTCCTAACAAGGCAGCCTCCCCTCAGAGACAGAAGAGGGTCCCCCTCGCTGATCCAACTAAAGTAGGGGACTCCCAGGGCCGGCAGACGCCCCAAGCCTCAATGTGAGCTGTAACCCTCTGACCAGGACACAGCATCCCCGTCCCCGCCTTCTGATCCCAATCTGGAGAGCAAATCCCCTCTGAGATCTCCAAGCCTATCCTGTAACTCTTCAAAATGAGCCAGAGGCCTGGCAGTGTGATCCCAGCAATTTGAGAGACCCAGGGGCGAGAGGATTTCTTGAGCCCAAGAGTTCAAGGCCAGCCTGGGCAACATAGCGAGACCTCATCTCTACAAAAAATAAGCCAGGTGTGGTGGCATGCACCTGTAGTCCCAGCTACTTGGGAGGATGAGGCAGAAGGATTGGCTGAGCCCAAAAGGTCAAGGCTGTGGTGAGCCACCCCAGCCCCCTCATTGACAGGACACAGACACCCAATCTAAGCTTCTGACTCCATATTTAGCAGCAGACACCGCAGGGATCCCCATCCCAGACGGCAGCCCCAGGCCACCCATCTGGGCCAAGACACCCACCTCTCCCTACCTCTGACCCGACTGTGCTCCCTCCCCTCTCCTCTGAGCATTATGTAATGCCCACCTGCTCTTCTGACCCAGGCTGCACCTTCCAACTTCAACCTGGAATCAGACACCAGGGAGCCTGAAGCCCTGCCCGCTATTCTTTTTTTTTTTTTTTTTGAGTTGGAGTCTCCCTCTGTCGCCCAGACTGGAGTGCAGTGGCCGCTCCCGGCCACCGCAGCCTCGACCTGCCAGACTCCGGCGATCCTTCCGCCTCAGCCTTCCAAGTAGTCGGAATTACAGGCGCGCGCTACCACGCCCGGCTCATTTTTGATGTATTGTGGAAATGAGGTTTCACCAAGCTGCCCAGGCGGGTCTCGAACCCGCGGGCTCAGGCAGTCCGCTCACCTCAGCCTCCCAAAGCGCGGGATTACAGGCTGAGCCACCGAGCCCGCCTTGCTCTGCCCCCCTGTTCTGAGCCCTAGACACCCCCGGCCCTCTCACCCCAGAGCAGGCCCCGTCGGACCCCCAC